GATTGTGAAGCCAACCTGTGGCCCTACCTAATTCGGGAAATAGGCTTCTGCTCTGCCTAATAACAGATGACAACACAAGGTAAGATCTGACAGTGAAGTTCTGCCTGTGGACCCTCCTAAACATGGAGTCCAGCCTATGTTACAACCAGGCTGGGAAGCATAACCTGAAACTTCACCAAAAAAGAAGCTATGGCAGGGTCCACCCTGTAACATTGTCCAATTACAAAGTCCAACCAGTAGCACCACCCTAGCAGCCTTACCAGTCCAGAAGTGATTGTAGAGCCAAGCAAGTGAGCCCCTCTGAATGCAGTGAACAGCCCTACACAATCAGAGGGTCCAACCAACCACCAATCTCAGCCAGCATCAACCCCTCAACCTCAGATCATGGAAGGTGGCTTGCCCAACTGAGACCCTCATAAGATGCTCCACCTGCTCATAAATGCCACCAGCTATTCCATCAGGTACCCCAACCTGAGCTGACTGCTAAAGTGAACCTGTAAATTCTGGAAGAGGAGATTGCTTACTCATATGTGCTGATACCAATACATGAAATCAAGAATCATTACAATTCAGGTAAACATGAAACCACCTAAGGAAATGAATAAATGCTAATAACTGCCCCTAAAGATATTTAGATCTCTAAACTGTCTAAGAAAAAATTCAGGATTATCCTCTTAGAGAATTTAAGTGAACTATAAGAAAACACACACAGACAAATAAATAAGGAAAATCTTACAGGAACAAAATTAGAAGTTCAACAAAGTAAAAGTAACTATCAAAAAGTCAAACAGACATTCTAGAGCTAAGAGGACAATGACTACACTGAATAATTCAATAGAAAGCTTCCATAACAGATCAAGTAGAAGAAGGAATCAGTGAACTAGAAGATAGGTTATTTGAATTTATCAGAGGAGTAAAGGAAGAACTAAAAACAGTGAAGAATTGCCCTGGCCAGTTTGGCTCAGTGGTTAGAGTGTTGGCCCACAGATTGAAGAGTCATGGGTTCAATTCCCAGTCAAGGGCATGTACCTTGGTTGCAAGTTTGAGCCCCAGCCCTGGTTGGGGTCATGCAAGAGGCAGCCAACTCCATCTAAAAAATCAATGGGAAAATGTCCTCAGGTGAGAATTAAAAGGAAAACGAGAGAGTAAAAAATGCCTACAATACTTCAGAGATATCATCAAGGAAAAAATAAATACAATATGGAATTCCTAGGAAGGAAAAGAAAAAGAAAGGGACAGAAAGTCTATTTAAAGCAATAATGATTGAAAATTTTCAAATTTGGGGAGAGAAATGAACACCCATATTTGTAAAGCCCAAAAGACCCAATTGGTTAAACTTGAATAGAGCTACATTGACATATATTATAACTAAATTATCAAAAACCAAAAATAAAGAGACAATTTTGAAAGCAGCAAGGGAAAAATGACTTGTTACATATACTCGAGCCCCCATAAGACTATCAGTGAATTTCTCAACAGACACTTTAAAGGTCAAGAAAAAATGGGTTTATATATTCAAAATATTGAAATAAAAGAACTCTTAACCAAGAATAATATTTGGACCCTAGCCAGGTTGCTCAGGTGGTTGGAGTTTCATTCTGTAAACAGAAAGGTTGCGGGTTTGATTCCTGATCAGGGCACATGCCTAGATTTCAAGTTTAATCCCTGGTTGGGACACATACAGAAAGCAACCAATGGATGTTTCTCACATTCTCTCTCTCTCTAAAAAATAATCAATAAAAACCATATCCTCGGGTGAGGATTTTAAAAGAAAGAATAGTATCCAGCAAAGTAGTCTTTCAGAAATAGAGGAAAAATAGACTTTCCCAAACAAACAAAAGCTGAGGGAGTTCATCACCATTAAAACTGTGTTATTTAAATTGCTAAAGTGCATTCTTCAAGCTAAAATAAATGTAAGTGACATTGTAAAAACATGGCCTGAACTCTCAGCTAAATACAGTTGGGTGCTCTTTCTTCCTTGGCTACAGGCACAGGGAATTTAGAGCAGGAAGGAGGCAGGGGGAGGCCATGGCCCAAAGCCCTTGCAAAGAGATGCTCCATAAATAAGTCCTTGAAACAAAAACCAGATTCAACAACCATAATTCAATCTTCTCCTTTAGAAAAAAAATTAAGCTTTTTGGCAACAACTTATATCTATCTCATCATTGTGGATGTTTTTTAAGTATTAATTCCAACTGAAATTCTATAGTTATCCATTAATCCATGTCTTTTCTCCAGGCATATTATTTGCTGTGATATTTTGTTTATTAATTAGCCCTCTCTAAGTAAGTGTGTGTTTGTGACAGTCTGGTTTGTGTATCTCCTAACAACGAGGTGTCTCTGACACACAGTGTCTCTTCCTTGGTGGGCAGGAGCTCAGGGGCACTGGAATCACTGGGGTCTGAGAAGCCAGAGGCAGGGCTGGTCCTGGGAGAGGGCGGGCTGGTCTAATCCTTACAAGTGAAGATGGAGAGTTCTCCTTCTTATCTGCAAGAGTGAGTTCCTAAGAAGCCATCCTCTTGAAAAAAAAAAACAAAACAGCTAGTAACTCAGGACAATATTCAGAGAACAATGCTTGAGAGTCTGGAAAGTGAACAAAGACAAGACAATCTTTGCAGGAAAGTCAAATCTCAGAAGCAGCCAACACAAAATGTTTCCAGTTGCCAAACACCTAGCTCTGAGAGCTGCCACTGGCTTGTAGGGTGGTCAAAACTCTGATAGAAAGCCCACGTTCTCCCTGCTCAGCAGAGAGAGGAACAAGGCTTTCTGGGAAAGCAAGAGAAAATCCTAAAAAGGAGAAGGACATAGTAAGGAACCTGAAATTTTGTGTCTAAACTCTCCCCAAGTCTCCCGACCTGAGTTCCAAATGAACAGATAGGCAAAAAGATAAAATGGAGATGGGGATGAAAATACCATCTTCCTTCATGAAAAGAGCTGGATCAGGGCATGTGGCTTAGATGTGTGCCAAAAAGGATTTTTAAATCTAAATCCTGGAATTGGACTTGGCCTCAAGGCCCCAGGCTGTTCCAGCCAACCCCAGCCCACACGCCCCAGGCCGCTGTCCCTGTGCACTTGAGCTCCCAGGAGCACAGAGCCCTGGCTCTCCAGCAGGGTGAGCCCAGGGAGACCCACCAGGGAGCAGACTCACCTTTCACAGAACTCACAGCCTGAGTGAGTCTCTCCAGGGAGAAGGGAGGGCAGGGGGACCAGAGTCCTGCTGACTGATGGGCCACCTCCTAGAAGGGGGCATTGGCGTGGGGCCTGAGTGTTCCCACCTAGTTCCCAGGTGCCCCCTGTCCGTTTCTGCAGCCACAGAGGTGCCGGGTCTTCATCCTCTGGCCCAGTGGCTGCTGCTGCCGCTGCTTCCTCCTGCCGTGAATGCTCAGCTCTGGGACTCTGCCTGTCTCAGCGACAAACCTCTGTCCCCCAGGCTGGAGAGTTAGCTCACTAGTGATGTCTATTAAAGGTGGCAAGAGCATACAGTGGAGTAAGGACAACCTTTTCAATAAATGGTGCTGGGAAAATTGGACACCTACATGCAAAAAAAAAAAAAAAATGAAGCTAGACCACCAACTTACACCATACACAAGAATAAACTCAAAATGGACAAAAAACTTCAATGTGACTCATCAATCCATAAAAATTTTAGAAGAAAATGTAGGCAACAAAATTTCAGACATCACGTGCACCACAAATTTCATTGATAGCAACACCTAAGGCAAGAAAAATAAAGGAAAAAATAAACAGATGGGACTACATTAAACAAAAAAGACTGCACAGCAAAAGAAACAACTATTAAAATGGAAAGGGAACCCATTGTATGGGAGAGCATAATTGCCAACAATACATCAGATAAGGGGTTAATTTCCAAAATATATGGAGGACTCATACAACTCAACAAAAGTAAGGCAAGGAATCCAATTAAAGAATGGGCAGAGGACTTAAAGAGACACCTCTCTAAACAGGACCTACAAATGGCTGAGAGATATATGAAAAAAATGCTCAACATCACTAATCATCAGAGAGATGCAAATAAAACAACTATGAGGTATCACCTCACACCTGTCAGAATGGCCGCCATCAACAAATCATCAAACAACAAGTGCTGGCGAGGGTGTGGAGAAAAGGGGGACTCTAGCACACTGCTGGTGGGAATGCAGACTGGTGCAGCCACTATGGGAAACATTACGGTATTACCCAAAAAAATTAAAAATTGAACTCCCATTTGACTCAGTGATTCCACTTTTAGGAATATACCCTAAGAAGCCTGAAACACCAATCAGAAAGAATATATGTACCTTCATGTTCATAGCAGCACTATTTACAATAGCTAAGATCTGGAAACAGCCCAAATGTCCATCACTAGATGATTGGATAAAAAAGCTGTGGAACATATACACAATGGAACATTATGCAGCTGTAAGAAAAAAAGATCTCTTATCCTTTGAGATGGCATGGAGGGACCTGGAGAATATTATCCTAAGCGAAACAAGCCCATCAGAGAAAGACAAATTTCACATGATCTCACTTATTTGTGGAATATAATGAACAAAACAAGCTGATGAATAAAATAGACTCAGAGTCATAGAAGTCGGGTACAGACTGACAAATCTCAGAAGAGGGGGATCCGGGGGGAGGGAAGAGATAAACCACAGAATTTATATGCATATACGGTAACCATGGATATAGACAACAAAGCTGGGGACAGGCTGGGACAGAGTAGATCAGGAGGAGGGTGTCAGGGGGGAAAAAGGAGAAACATCTGTAACAAAAATAAAGTAATCAAAAAGTTAAAAATAAAAAATAAATAAAAAGAAGAAAGTGAGGCATTTACAGTGGCTGAGATTCCTAAGGGGAGTATACCAGCCGTGCGTAAGGTGCCCCGACCACCTCTAAACCTTAGCGTTTCTGTTCTGTTCATCGTGTCTAGTCCTTCATGGGCAGGACAGGAGAGGACACAGCCTGGGGAGGAGGGAGACAGTGTCTGACAACACTGGAGAAGGTACTTTCACTTCTGTTTCTCCATTTGGGTGGAGCCTCCCGGGCCGAGTGGATTCACAGACTTCCTGCTCAGCACTGGGCAGCCACACTGGTCCCAGGCTGCGGACACACACTGGAGGGATCAGAAGTCCAGGCAGTGCCCAGGACAGGACGATAGCCGCTGGGGGCAGCGACCTCAGCACCAGGTCAGTTTCTGTCTCCCCTCCTTTAACTTCCTCTCTGGATGAGCTGCTGCTCCAGGGTCTGTCATTACACAGCTCTCTCAACCTTGACCTTCGTCCTGCTCTGTAAGAACTCTCTCGGGCACCATAAGGAAATGCAGGAATGCACAGTGAGGAAACCGGACCTTTAAACTGCAGGGGGGCAGGTGCTGGTGTGAGTGCAGCTGCCACAGCCCAGGACTGACAGCCACTGCTCCTCTGGCAGCCCGTCTGGCTGGGCTGTCCTTCCTGACGCTCCGAGACAGCGATCTGTTGTTTTCTCATGACCTCTGAACCCTCTCTTTCCCTCAGAACCCTCTACCTTCACCTGGATGGTTTCAAAGAGGGTACTTTAGAAAATATACAATTTAGGGTGAACATCTGACTTTCAAATCTGGGTGCCTTGGTCTCACAGCTGACCTGGGGATGGGTCAGCACTGGGCTTATTTCCATCTGTGGCTGAGGGTCTGGGGTCTTTCTCCAGGGATCTGGGACCTAAGGGAGTGAAAGGAAGAGGAAGGACCGAGATGCCAAAGGCTAGTGCCCCCAGAGACATAGAAGTAGGGCACAGACTGACAAACCTCAGAAGTGGGGGAGATAAACCACAGACAACAATGGACTTAGACAACAAAGCTGGGGATGGGGCCGAGGTAGGGGGAATTGGGAGGAACTTGTCAATGGGGGAAAAAAGGAGAAACATCTGTAACAAAAATAAAGTAATAAAAATAATTAAAAACAAAACAAAACAAAATAAAAACACAAAGGCTAGTGCAGGCTGAGTGTTTTCATCTGTACTGATTTTCTGCTCTGTAGGGGGTTATACCTCTGATGAGGAAAAGGCCAAAAATCCTACCTTTCTCTCTAGTAATGGGTCAGAAATAACATTACTTAGTATGGTTGTTAGACTTTAAAAAAAAATTTTTTTTTTCAACTCATGTTTATTGTTGAATATATTACAGATGTTCCCTCTTTTTTTCCCATGGACCCCCTTCTTCCCAATCCCACCCCCTCCTGCCTTCCCCACACTACTGTCTGTGTCCATTGGTTATGCACAAATGCATAGAAGGTCTTTGGTTTGAATCATCCCGCCCTCCCTCCCCCCTTCCCTTTGAGGTTCATCAGTCTAACAACCAATTTGTACTTCTTAATTCCTTCATTTTTTCACCCATCCCCCCATGTTTTTTTGTTTTTAATACAAAAAAAAAAAAAATACATTAGACATTCTTGACCATAAAATTTCCAATGACATAGATGTATGTAGAAGAAGAAGTCTTATTCCCCACCCACCCACCCTTGGCAGCTTCCAGTCCCAGTCCTGGTTGAGTGTTGTGGGCATAGTGTTTTATGTCTCTTTCTCTGCATTTACACATATAACTTATTTTCCTGAATAGTACTTTATGTCTTGTTTTTTAATGAGTGAGATTATATTGTATATGCTATTTTGGTTTTTACATTGAAAAAAAAACGGAATGTGTGAATTATTAGAGGTCTTTTCACGTAAATAAACATATAGATCCACCTCATTCTTATTACTCCATGGAATTGATAGGCCAAAATTTTTAAATTATGTTCCATATAAAACATTCGTGTTGTTTCAGTTGTTCACTGTTACCAACAAACTGCCATAATAACGGTTATATTTTATTTATGTTTTTCACATATACAAGTATGTCTCTTGTGTCAAAAATCAAGAGGTGAAATTATTGAGGCAAAGGGTACTAACATTTAATTTTTTATATAGCCTACCAGATTGCCTTCCTACTGCTGAACCACTGTCTTCTCCGACCACTCTCCACACCTGGACTTCACCAGGGTGCGGGGTGGAGGGATACATCCTGTTCATTTTCTTTCTCTGATAGCATGGGAGGTTGAATGGGTTTTTGTGTTTATTGGCCATTTAAATGGCCTCATCTGTTGAATGCTGGTTTATTTTGGCCAATGTAATCAATTGAGGTGATTGTCCTTTCTTTAATGATAAATGAGAGTTTGCTACCTAGTCTGAACTTCATAAATGTACTTCCTTGTCTTTTTACTGTTTTATGGTGACTTCCATCGTATTGAAGCTTTCACACGTAGAGTAAAAACTTATCGTATTGATTTGATAAGATAAACGCACCCTTGTTATTCCAAATACATAAGTGATGCAGAAGCTGCTCGGGAACTCCACCTGCACCGTCTTTAACCACAGTTCCCATGTTCCTCAGGTGGCGGATTCCTTCTCCCTGGGCTTCAGGGAAACTTTCTCCTCTGCTGTCAAACGTGTTCTTCTTTAATTGTGGAACAAAACTATTCTTCCACAGGTGCACCTTTAGCCTTCACAGCTTTATCCGTCCCTAATAAACCATCTCTTCAGCTTTTCCCTTTCCTCTCATAAGGGCTGTCTCAAACCTTTCTTCTAGACAATGATTTAATTTTTATTAGTTCTTACGGTTTCTTGTTATCACTTATTTTTTTTAATGTTGATTCTGTTAGTTTCTTCATCCCCAGACAAAACCCTCTGCCTGTATCACGTCCGGGTCACCAGTCTCTGGCTGTGTCTGGAACTGACACCTGCTTTCACAGCACGTGTGACTGACTTCACCGCTTTCAACTCTCTCTTCTCTCTACCTCACCGCAGCTGTCACTGCCATTTCTGAACGGTGACCTTCATTCTACTCTGCTTTTCAGACGCTTTTGACATAGTTTCTTTAGCTTCTAGGCCTGAAAACTTGACTGTGGATCCTGAGGGGCAACTGACTGTGTTGAGGTGCCTCGCTCCAGCCCTGCATGACCCTCACAAGTTTATCTATCTTCCTTGCTCCCCGCAGAACTCCTTGTCCTTGCCCTGGCTGGTTTGGCTCAGCAGTTGGAGTGTCGGCCTGTGGACCAGAGTCCCGGGTTCGGTTCCCAGAAGGGGCATGTACCAAAAACAAAACAAAACAAAACTTGTCCTTGACCAAGGCCAGATTCTCATTCTGTACTCCGTGACTCGTTTTTTTCATTTTCTTCATGGTGTCTTTTGAAGCACAAAAGATTAAATATTCTTTGTTCTAATATATCTGGGTTTTTTTCTCTTTCGCTCTCTTTTATGGATCAAACTTTCAGTGGTATAGTACCTTTTGTCTAATCCAAAGTCACAATTATTTTCTTAAAGATATATATATATATATATTTTCACAAAGATATATATAAATATGTATATATTTATCTTTATTGTTGAAAGTATTACAGATGTTCCCCTGTTTGACCCCATTGACCCCTCCACTCAGGTCCTACCTTCCTCCTGCCTTCCCCACACTATCGTCGGTGTCCATTGTTTATGCATAAATACATGTTAGCCCCCCCAATCCCTCTTCGCTCCGAGGTTCAGTCTGTTCCCTACTTCCGTGTCTCTGGATCTATTTTGTTCGTTAGTTTATTTTGTTCATTATATTCCACAAATAAGTGAGATTATGTAGTACTTGTCTTTCTCTGACTGGCTTATTTTGCTTAGGATAATATTCTCCAGGTCCTTCCATGTCCCCTCAAAATGTAAGGTAAGCAGTCTTTCTTTCTTACAGCTGCATAGTACTCCATTGTATAAATGTACCGCATCTTTTTTATTCATTCATCTACTGATGGACACTTGGGCTGTTTCCAGATCTTAGCTCCTATGAACATAGGGGTGCATAAATTCTTTCCGATTGGTGTTTCAGACTTCTTAGGATAGATATATATTTTAATGTTATTTTCACTTTTACATCGGACCAGCAATTGCAATTCTTGCTCACACCGGCAATGAATGTCTGCTTCTCTGAATCTTCCCCCTCACTGCATTGTCACTTATGAAATCATTTTTGCCAATCTAATGGGTGAGAAATGGTTTCTCATTGATGTTTTTGTTTGTATATTCATATGCTTATTAGACATTTTAATTTTCTCTTCTCTAAGTCACTGCTCAGGTCCCCTTTCTTTGGAATTATATGTCATACTTTGTAAATAGGCTGTCTTTGTATATTAGATACATTAACCCTTAGACATGTGTGCTGAAAATATTTTTCTACATTCTTTTAATCTTACTGAATTTTAACATTTAAACCTATTAAGTTTTCCTCCATTTACTTTTTAAAAATATGTTTTTATTGATTTTTTGAGAGAAAGGAAGGGAGAGAGAGATAGAAACATTGATGTGAGAGAGATACATAAATCAGCTGCCTATTGCACGCCCCCACCGAGGACCAAACCCAAAACCCGGGCATGTGCCCTGACTAGAAATTGAACTGGGACCTCTCAGTCTATGGGACGATGCTCAGTCCACTGAGCCACATGGGCCAGGCTTCCTCTACTTACTTTTTAAAATATTTTTATTTTCTTGATTCAGACATTTGTTCTGTCATATAAATTTATAAATTGCCTTATCCAGTTTCTGTGGGATTACAAACTGTAAGTGCCACACTTTCACAACAACTTCAGAACGATTGACATTTAAAAATTGCTGTTTTCCTAATTGGAGTCACCTTCTATATCTCCGTTTATTTAGTTCTTGTTTAATTTTCTTCAATAAGACATTCTAGTGTCTTTCATATAGGTTCATAACTTTTAGATGTTTATATATTTACTTATTGTGTTTGAAGTATTGTATTTCTTTTCAATATATGTTATTGCAATAAAATCTGTTAGTTTTATGTACCTTTTTTTATTTATGCTCATTAGCAAATTATTTCTCTAGTACTTAGGGAGTTTATTTAGGTCTCTATCGTTTCTCCATATACAATCATATATCATATAATGCATCTAATTTTAGTATTTACACCAATGAATGCATGTTCTCATGGTAACGGTAGGCATCACTGTTGTATTCTTTGAAAGGCTTCGTCATTTCAATGTTTACTGTAGTATTTGCTATTTGGGGAGACTTTATATTGTGCCAGCTTCCATTTATTTTATATAGTTCTTCTAAAAATAGCTGCTAGGTGTACCCAAAGTTCTTTTTAAATTAATTTATGGATATAATTAAATCCTTTTAC